TTGCATGCATGTATCGAAACTGTCAGCTTGAGAATTTATCTCAGCGGTATATTCCTTATGTCGCTCTACTTGGGCTTCAGCACCAGCTACATCCTTTGCCAAATCATCCGCCGATATTAACGTCTTCATGTCATTCATCCAGATGCTCAAGTCTCTCCAGTCAGCCAAAAAGCGATGCATCTTGAATGACTCTTCCAGTTTGCCTTCTCCTACCTACAGCCTGACTTTTCAGCTTATCCCATGCAGTGATTAAGGCGTCATACTTGCCTTGTATAGTGTTTTGCGAATCAGGATGCTTCTGTGCAAGCGCCTTAGCATCATCTCCAAGTTGAACAATCTTTTTATCTGGGGCAGTCAAATCCCTTTCTAATGCTTCGTGCTTCCTTTGTAAGGCTTGGACTGAGGCAAGATCACGACCACAGTCCTCAATGGATAAAGGAATGAACTTTTCATTCACCAACGATATAGCTCCATCTATGTCTCTAAAGAAGCGCTGTATCTCATAGGCTTCCAGGAGCTTTTCTTGTCGTTTTCTAGCCAGATCCTTCAGACGTTCTATAGCTTCGCGGACTTGTCTGAACTTTTCTATGACTAGGGCATCCTCAGGAAATTTCTCTTTTAGAAGTTCATCTGCCTTCCGATAGATGTCTTCTGCACGACTTTCTTGATTCTCGAGATCTTTTGTAAACTCATTAAACCCTTTTTGAAGTGTCTCAGCATGTTACAAGTCTTGACCTAAATCCTCTGATGTTACGTAAGTTTCTTTTTCACGTATCCAGAAAAGTATCTCCTCGACTTGGCGTAAAAACTGGACAAATTTAAGCCTTAGGTTAATAAGACGTAATTTTTCTCTGAAAATAGCCATAAGCCTTTCCCACAGGGCATGCAGTTCATCAAGACGGTTTTTGATAATATCTGTTGCGTAGTGTCCCTGACCAATCATTTCTTCTCCTGCAGAATCCAGAGCTGACAGTGTTTCAGCATGAACTGTTACTTCGAACTCAAACTCCTGATGTTTCTGGTTTTTCAGATGAAGATTACTGAGTTCTTTAAAATCCTCATTTGCATATGTTTGCAGTTTTTTATTGATCCAACACTCAAGTTCATCGGCATCCTTCTTAAAATATTGATATCTTTCAAGCATGTCCATAAACTTAGATATGGCTATGGTGAACTCACCGTTAAGAGATACAGTGACTTTATGGGAAGTAGAAGGCGATTTGTTGTGACCAGAACATTCGCGACTACCTTGTCGTAATCTTTCTAATTCCATTTCTTTCTCTTTTTGGACTATGCGCAATTTCGCTAGCTCCAATTCTACCATACGGTGTGATTTATTCTTTTCGCTTCCAGGGAAATCAGCTTCATTACTCTTTTCTAACTGTGGAGTTAACGACGGCATAGTTTCATAACTTTCGTCTGCCATACTGTTCGAAACTTTGTAGGATTATTTTTGTCCTACAGATTTAGTCCTTTCTCAATATTTATATTTTTTTAATATTTTTGGTTACAGCTTGATGCCACCTTGTATTTTCAGTACAAGTATGGAATTTTCAGCATGGATATCGATAGCCCAAATTTTGCAGACCGACCATAGATATCGGGTGTGCGTCAGCAGGGGATCGAACCTCGGGTCATGTGCATGGTCGGCGAGAGTCCTAACCACTGTGCCACCGACGCACACTGTAATACTGACGACACAGAGTCTTGGCTTAGCTATAGTTAAAACAGAATGACTTGACTTAAACTTTACCTGTTTCTAAAACATAAAATAAATCATACAATTACACCAAGAAAAATGTACAAATCCACTGTCATTCAAAAAAGGACAAAAGCGTACCGAACAGTATTGAAGGAACGGACAAATGAACAGTTAATTAATTACATGTACATACAAATAAAGTGACAGACAACAAAGAACATTCAAGGTCACATCACGTGGTGAGAGTTACAATAAATTGACCAATAATCGCGACAAGAAGGTGGCCAAGTTAAACTTTAGACACCAGTCACTTCCAATCAGCGAACGACGTCAAATTATCCAATGAGATTCACGAATGTAGTTCAATGTTGTATAGCGCCTGATTCATTTCAATGCGTGCCCTTACAAGGTTACGTTTGCAATTCGAGGAGGATAGTGTCTTTCAGTATTGCTTGGACTTAGGAAAGACGCTATAGTCAGTTTCAAGGTCATGATGGGTTCCTGCGTCTGCAGCTTATATGTTTTCGTGGATTCGTTCTCCATTGAATTTTAAAGGTTTTTTTTGAACGTTTTGCTTGTTTTGGAGTATGTAGGTCAGATTTTTGTCACTGGATGCTAACATGACGTTTATTTTTAGCCTGCAGTTCCTAGTTTTTATGTTGGTAGTTAAGGATTATGGTAAATCTGCAATCATTGAGCCAGTTCACGTGTACTCTGCTAATATAGTAACATTCCTCAGTAATTAAACGCCTTAACTGTTCTGCCATTGTTGGATCAAACAGTGGCAGAACAGTTACGGATTATTTGCTTAAGGTGGAACTGTGCGCTGGTTTATCATCATGACTGGCACCAATTCTGCACCTCGTTCTTATTCTACGCACTTTCAGAAGTAGCTTATCAGCCTTATTGCAGCACTTCTAGTCCAGGTTCTGCTCCTTCCAAGCTTACCATAATGCTGAATTAAATCTCACTAATTCTGAAATAATTCCAACGTTCTATAGTAAGTAAATTCTGGATCTTTTCTTAAATAGACTCTTTAACGTCACAGTCGAGAACTCAGTTCTGGTTTTCAGCATGACTGACAGTAATTCAACACCGTGTTCTTTTTCTAGACATTTTCAGGAGTACATCAGAACCTACTAGTTTTGCTTAGCAGCTTTATTTAAGCCCTTTCAGCTCATTTTCAGTACGGACTAGCTTTACTTCAGAACAAAAAGACAATTTAGCACATAATGGTAATTTTTTGATCTTAAATTTGGAAATTATATTTGGAAACTGTAGTACAATGTCACTGCAAATCTGTCAAGTTAGGTCCACTGGTAGCACCCTGTAAATAAGCAAAGTAAAATATCAGTTGATGAAAAATTGTGCTCATCTCATTCTCAGCATTTGCATTTAGAAAAGTTTGCTTACATAACTGCCACTGTTATGTCCCCTGCTATCTTTTCCATTTGCCTAGAAATAAAAACAATGATGTGATTACTACATGTTGTCTTAACGTTAACCTATAAAACGAAGCGGGCGTTTAACAGTATTAACTGAATTCCTTTCTTCAGGTTACGCCTTTGGACACGATCTTTCAAATTATGAATGTACGATTTCGTGGCCTAATCCATTATGTCACCAACCTCTCTCGATGTCATCAGTTGGTCGCTACAGAAATAAGTACTTCATTAATGAACCTTACATCTCGTGACTGAATTTCGAACATCTGAATATTTCTAAATTCCTTGATTTAAATGGTGTATTAAAATCATCACTAAAATCACAGTAGGGTCGAAAGCGTATCCTATCTTCACTTTCCATTTCAACTATATTCCCCCGGTTTACCTGAGGCTAAGATTACATTGTCCGGAGAATAAGAAGTAAATATGACGTTCAGATAAGTTAACTTTCCTTTGCTAAACTTAACGCCTTTAGTACTAGCTTCTTTAGGTACACGCTTGACACCTGTACTTTTCATTAGGTGCACGTGCGCAACATAACGCTGAGCTGCCTGCTTAGCCACAACATATCCACAATGCACGAACTGTCTGATCATGAGCATATAGGATTCAAAGGGAAATGCACTGAATCCCTCTAATAGCCCATGCAGCTCGACGTCATCCACTGTACGTTTCAGAAAATGAATATTGTAAACAATATGCTCATCTCCGAAACAGTTCTCATATTGCAGTAAGAAATTACTCACATCTGTCCGAACAGCATCCAAAAACAGTCGGCTGTATTTGGTACTCGAAAGTAAGTATACTGCCAGGGAAAATTTCCTATAATTATAGTACAGGGGGGGAGGCAGAATGTTCCTGAGTAGGCGAGACCCAAATATAGTAGCTTTTTAGAACGACCAGGGTTATTTCAGTACATACTGGGTTCACTTCAAATAGATAAAATATTCATTTACCGTAAAAAGGCATTATTGACGCGTTGGTTAGACTTTGCTGAGAATTGTTGCAAGGTTGGTCTTTTAAGCGTCCCAAGCTTACTAAACTATACCTCCAAAAGTGCATTCATACCTCACAAACTTATATTCCATAGGGCCAGATGGGTCTTTCTTACCTGAATCAAGCCGTTAGGATGTGTTGGATTCCTTTCAAAGAAATAATGAACAATTTAGTTGTTACCTTCATAAATGTATCAAAAGCTTGCTTAAGTTGCACCCACGTATAAAATACACAACTAAGCATTATTCTTTGGAATATAGCCATTACATCAGACAATATAGATGACACATTTCGTGAAGTAGAGGCTGCAGGAGTATCTTGTAACGTCATGTAATGGTTTTAACAATGACTAACGAACACAACATTATAATTTCAAGTAGATGAATAATAGTATATATTTCAGTGCTCATAAACCACTGTTGTGACCTAGTAAATTTAATTGATTTATGCTGACCTAATATGCACAAATCCCACAGGTCACTAAACTAACAACTTAAAAAAGTGGATCAGTTAATACGTACATTTATCTATATGTTCTAATTAAAGACACATTATATGTTTAGAAATTGTAGTTGAATTATATTCGCCTAGTAAGCAAAAATGCATACATCCTATTTTGGGCTTAAAATAAATGCATCAAAATTATTGTTAATTTATATTCACTTGCTAGACATTCTCATACATCTCAATGTACTTTAAATACCACAAATGCATCCAAATAGCGTGTGACTATCACACTACACTCACACCAAAAAAATTAACACGCCGTTATATTATGGTAAGTTAAGCCTGACATTAAACTGACTGTAAATTTCCGTGTCAAAATAAAGAGACTGCCATTTTAACTTATATTTTAGACCAATAAGAAGCCAGCTAGCCAACAGCCAATCAAAATCTGCCTATATCGCTTTTCTTGGACTTAGGCTTGCTTCGAAAGGAGAGGGAGGTATCATGACCTTAAAAAGCTATATTAGGTCAATTGATGGATTTGTCCATCGTTGTGCTATATGCTCCAAGCGTGTTAGCATTAGAGAGGGTAAGTTGATAATTTTAATATTTCGTAGGAACTTTTTTTGTAATGTCGCACCTCTCCTTGACGCAAATTTTATATATCTGCAACTACTGGGTATTAAAACAGCCAGTGAGAGCAGCAGCTGCGGAGATGGAGAACAGCCTCGTCTCAACAGTTCAATGGTACCAGTATTGCAGAGATATTGAATCCTGGAAAATCGAGAAGATCACTTCGTTGTTGGGTGGAGAAGACGTTATCATGCACTTGGATGAAACTGTGATGCTGAAAAAGAAATACAACCGTGGTCGCCAGCGAGCGAATAATATCTGGGTGATAGGTTTATACGATACTTCCTTACGAAAGGGATTCGTTGAAAGAATAGGAGATAGAAAGGCGACAACGTTAATACCTATTATAACGAGACTCGTCAAACGGGGTTCAATTATACACACGGACGAGTGGAAAGGTTATAATTCGCATTTATAGTCATTTAGATGAATATATATATACATATATATACAGAGTGTGGTGCGACTTTTCTATTGACAGTCCGTTGCTGAATTGGGAAATGTTTCTGTCCCATGTTCGTGAAAGATACCCGTTGTAATTGTTTTATCCTATTTTTTATGCATTTTTCTATAAATATACATTACCACTTATCATAAACGCCTCTTTCTTGTGATTGGTCCGTTCAAGGTCGTTTGCTGATTGGTTGTTACTGGTGTCTAAAGTTTAACTCCGCCGGATTTCATCATGAGCTGACAGCATTTGGAGAACCACTGGAAAACCTGGGAGGACTGGACAGCTGTTTCGTCCTAGTTTGTGACTCTGAGGATATATATATATATATCACCTGAGGTAATGGTGTAGTCAGTGGTGAAAGTCTGGAGATGTGATCTGTGGTTACTTCACATTTTTCATGATCCTCCTTGATTTTAACTGTGTAATGATATTGGGATATCAGTTTGACGTCTTATTCTTGAGGCTTATGTAAGTTTTAAGTTAAGTGCATGTTGAATTTCAGCTGTGATTGACGAATTCATTAAAACGCTTTGTTTTTAGCTGTGCAGTCTGCAGTTCTCTGTCATCTGAAGTCCCAAAAGTGATAAACAGGCTTCATCACTAAACTTGAATGTACACACATATTTCATTATGTTGTAGTGAAGTTGTGTCTACGTCCTCTACTACTCAATCAAGAAGAGAATAATTAACAGATGAAGCACTAACAAAGCCTTTAATTCTCAATCTAAGATCTGAAATTCTCTACTAATTACCCTCGTGTTTGCTCTGTTCATTTTTCCCGTGATCAGTTCTTTTCATCGGGAAATTAGTATGTACAAACTGGTTATATTGAAACTAATCTTAATTTGTTTTTTATCCTTTTCTACCTGAATTTCCTGTAGCTTCTCTTTCAATGCATGGGAATTAGTCAGCCTAGAATTTGACCAATTTCTAAATAAGCGATGATATTTGTGTTATCTTCGATAATTCACATGTCGAAGTGTTCTAATCTGTCATACTTTTCCCACGCTATCTTCGTTGATTCGCTGACTTCGACATCTATTGGTCTTACCATTTTTCTTCTTTTTTACAGGGAAAGGTTGAAATCACAGAAGAAGGCATTAAATTACTTGAAAAATTGACGAAATCATTGAATTCTGCTAACACAACAAATGGTGGATGCCCCATAGCTGAAAGTCCAATGAAAGAAAACATTTCAACGCCACATGATGGTAAAAGCAATACATCTAATAAAAGGAAACGTGTAGCTACTCCTTCTCCTGAGAGAGTTAAACAACCCAGTTGAACTTCATTAAAGGGAACGAAGCACAATTGTGAAGGAGATGAACATTCTTCTCAATCTGGTATTACCGTTGGTACTTCTTCGTCAGTGCATATTCCTCCCTTTCATACTGAACAGCCGATAACATCTGTAAAACAACCCACCAGTGTCAGGTTTCTCGATGCTTTTGAATATGGGGAGGAATGGCTTCCTGGCTTGTTGAAACCAACGAACTTGAAGAACTTCATCAGGTGAATTTGTTATTTCGGTTATATATTTCTAGAAATGCTTTTCATGGCTCACCACGCCAGGTTTCTGACCCATATTTAATATAAAGCGGCTTACTTAACAGTGGTGTTAGACAGAATCCGAATTTCGTTCTTTATACTGTGGAGTGCAGCTGATTTCAGAGTTATGAATTCTGCCTTGCCCTTACGATTCTTGTTTTGATATCCTCGTCCATCCTTTCTACTATAGTTGACACGATGCTGCCTAGATAAGTGAAAAAGAGGCCTCTTTCAAATTTCTTCCGTTGACAGTGATTAATGGTTGTTATTATTGTTGTTGGTTATCGGACATTTTCCTCACTTCCATTTTCTCTGTGCTCACTTGAAGTGTTGTCTCGTGAATCTGAATAGTTCAGTGGTAATGTCTCTGACTGCAGCACTCCACTGAGCGACCTGGCTTGTTGAAGTCTCCCAGAGGTGACGTCGTTAGTTCTTTCAAGATTCCAGATGCGCCTTTCTGGCTGGCGTTAATGCCAACAAGTAGGAAAGCTAGGTCCACACAGAGATTCCTGCCTATTACCTTCAACCATGTAAAAACAACAATTCAAAGTGCGACATAGTAGCTAGCCACCTAGTTTGATGGATGTCGAAGGCTGGATTCATGACGCTAAATACCATCTTGTGTCTAATCGTAATATATTGTGAATGATCTTACGTAATCGAAAGAGCTGACAACTAATTCGTTCATAGTGATGAATAATCATTTGGAAATGCTTATTGATAAAGAACAAGGAGGAACAAATAGACTAAGAATGGCCTCCATGGAGTTTATTATAGAACAAAGTCATAAAGCTGGTGAAAAGTGGGATGGGTATGTAATCAACAGCAATCAGTAAGATGTTTCCTCCACTCCTATGACGAGGATGCTGTATCCCCATTGTGACCATGGGCCTTCAAAAGATCAGATTGGAAGAGAGACAGCAATGGCCAAACAAAAACATGGCATCAGTCCATAAAATCTTTCAAAGCTAGTTTGAGATAATGACTTGCCGATCACCATCGCGTACCTCATTAGATCCGTTGACGATACAGTTGGCATATGGATGATTTGAAACAGCCACAAAGAGATGCAAAGTTAACTTTCTGTGAGAAACAACCAATCAAAAGACTCTATTTTCTACTAACAATAATGTACATTAAAATCTATAAATATGTGTTGATTTTCCTTAATAAGCGATCTGTTGCCTGGCCCTTGACTTCTGTTAATTTTTTTTCAGATGTAAAATAAAATGCAATTTATCTGAAAATAAAAAATCTCCTCACACGTAAAACGTCCCGTCAACTTGGCTGTTGTGAACTTGAAAACGACCACCGTCCAACAGAATCTCTGGCTTCTCCACGTCCGATAACCATTCACGGGCACGAAATGCAGCCAAGTGAGAATAATAAGTTGGCGATGGATACGAGACACTACGCGAACACCTCATGTACGCATAGCATAGGTGGTAGGTGAACAACTGGAGAGCGTCCGATGTCCAGTTACTGTCATCATACAAAACGTGATAATGAGCAGGTTTTGAAGTACCCTGAATCCCTTCTTGTGAGCACAGGTAGAAATCGAATTCCCTGGGATGTGTGATGTCTGTATCAACCACCGTTCCTGGCTCCACGTTTCTCGCCCTAGGCTTGCTCGGTCGAAATCGAATGTGGTGACGGTTCTGCACAACAATATAAGTGATCGCGGGTTCTTCACCAGGACGAATGTCTGCACAAGCTCTCTGAATTGCCGCCAACTCCTCTACCAACACATTCTCGAACTGGCCTTCCGAGACTTCATGACGATAGAATATTATACGCGTTGGGAAACGCCCGTTCGTATTTCGCGAGTAAACCTCAAGCAACTCCTTGACAATAAGACGCATGTCGTCGATTATTTCTCTTGCTCTCTTATTCCCCTTTTCTGTCGTCGCCTGTTGGCGGATCACCACCGCGTACCTCATTAGATCCATTGACGATACAGTTGGCATATGGATGATTTGAAACAGCCACAAAGAGATGCAAGGTTAACTTTCTGTGAGAAACAACCAATCAAAAGACTCTATTTTCTACTAACAATAATGTACATTAAAATCTATAAATATGTGTTGATTTTCCTTAATAAACGATCTGTTGCCTGACCCTTGTCTTCTGTTGTTACAGTAATAATAATCGTAATAATAATAACCGTAAATTCGTTTGCTATTGATTATTAAGCAAAATTCACCCAATAGCATATGATAACTGTGGGACAAATTACACTAGACTAAACCTAAGTTCTGCGACACTCAGTGAGTAATGAAAAGTCTTTCAATGTATATATGTGTAAAATTTGAATTGAGAATGAGGTCAACGCATTTTAAGACAACTGATACGATAACGGTCTCTTAGGCTGTAAGCGCTTCCCCTAATTTCCAAATCATTTAAGGCGGAGAAATTTGCGAAACCTTCTCCATTCTCATTTATTTCACCGCATGCCACGATTGTTAGTGGCTGTCTGTTTTCGACATAGAACTTTGGACATATGTGCGGCAGTTCAAGTCGCCACACTCCATGTAGCACACAAAGCAAGAGAAGAAATTAGAAGAAATGCATAATAAAGACAGTAAACAGAGGTGTGAGACAAAGGTATAGTATAATGAAGAACACAACAGTTTCATTGGAAATCATAAGTCACAAGGAGTGGATGCATCTGCGCCATTGAGAACGATTTTGAGGCATGTCACCAATTGTTTCCAACCATTGGTTTTTACCATCCCGAGGACCCCAACCAGGAAGTCTACACCTTCCTACGTGGCTCAGACTAACTGTTGTGGAATTCATTGACTGGTGCCATGTTTCAGTTTGACTGCCGCTAGCTCTTTTCCAGCCTGACCCTATATCAGCTAAAATTGCGCGTCGAGGAAGGCGATGACTAGGCATACGTAGCACATGTCCTAGCCATCTCAGTTGATGTAGCTACTTCACAGCCTTGTCAACTGATTTCCCCTCCTTACCTAGCACTCGACGCCTAACCTCAATATTGCTCACCTTATTATACCACTTCACGCGGGAGATAGGACGCAGACACCTATGATCAAAGACAGCTAATCTTTTCATGTCCTCCGCCCTCAATGGCCAGGTCTCACAGCCATAAAGGAGGACGAAGCGGAATGCTGAGCAGTACACACACCCTATGGTCGAGAGTCTAGAATCTGTCGGAGAGTGAAGATATGATCGATACACCCGCTTCCTGGCCTAAAGCCTGGCTGGTTTTCTCGTGTTTGTGCCTCCCGAGCACCATTTAGTCTACGCATGATTATTGAGCCTAGGACTTTAGATACTATATTAGTCAAGCTAATCCCTCTGTGATTATCACAGGAAGACTTGTCTCCCTTCTTGTATATCGGGATAATCAGTGACTTACTCCAACCCGATGGGACTTCCTCTGATTCCCAGACTCTGCCTAGAACCTCAGTTAATGCAGACAGTAAACTGTCTCCACCGTACTTAAATACCTCTGGAGTTATTCCATCAGGTCCCGCTGCTTCGCCTTGTTTCAGATTAGTGACAGCTTCAGTAACCTCAGTTAAGGACGGAGGACCTGTGCCTATATCCCATTCAGGGAGGTGTTGAATGTTTGGCAGGTTAAGTGTGGCTGTAGGCCAATTAAACTGCTCTTCATAGTGTTCTTTCCAGCGCTCCAGTCGTTTATCCTCGGAGCTAATTATGGTGCCATTTTTCTCCGAGATTGTTTCGCTTATCATTTGCCTTTTGCCACCTGTTTCCCTGATAAGCCTGAATAGTTGTCTGGTGTTGCCAATCGCCGATGCCTTTTCCATCTCTTTCGCTTTTGTCACCCACCACTGTTCACGGTCGTTGCAATGACTTTTTGTTAGTTTTCGTTTAAGTACCTTTCGCTCCTCATCATAATCGGAGCTCGCTGGAATCAGTCTCCTTGCGTCAGTCAGTTCAGATGAGGCGGTAGAGATCCAATGGCTTTTATTAACTTTAGGTTTTAGCTTTCACAGCTGTGTCTACAGCTAACTGTATGTTGTGCTAGGCTACTTTGGGGGAAGTCCTGCTGTCGATCTCAGAAACTCGTTTCGCTATTTCTTCCTTAAATAAGGACTCAGTGTCTCGATCTACGGTTAGTGGCTGAAATTATCAGTGGTCTATCCCGGTTTGACTCAGCTAATTGTTGAATGTCTTTGAGACCATTTGAATACTGTCTGGCTAGCTGACTCCTTGGTAAAAATTTTAAATATGCAGCTTACACACAGTTCTAGGTGAGAGTTCGCTACATGTATTCCTTTAGAAACCCAGCATACCTTTTAATTAGGTTCAAGGTGAAGAAAACTTAAGGAAATTCTTGAAAGATCTTCAAACTAAGTGAACACTCTCAGGTTTGAATTCCACTTCAGCTACTTCTGACGTGATATAGTACTGGAGTGCACCGACTATTGGTTTTAAGATCGAAAGTAAGGTGTTCAAATGTGTGGACCATCCTTTCACCCACTTATTTGAGAAGTCGCATCACCCTATATCGGCTGTCTGATTGTTGATGAAATTTGAGGATGGATGTGAAAGTTTTGTGTGGCTTTGGTGTGGGACCAAAACATGCCACCAATTGAAGAAGTCTCTAATTGTTGGTTTCAACTGCATATGGAGGAGGGCGTAAACACTGTCGAGGTGTGCTCCTAGAAAGGTTTAGAATCAACTGCTGGAGAAAATTGAGATGCATCGAGCATACACGCAGAAGAGACAGGTGGGTATCATCACACGAGTCTGAATTGAAGACAGGAGTGTAAGACAAGACTGCCTACTATCACCGATAACACTCTTGATAATAGTGAACTACTGGGTCACACAACAAAGCGTCAGTGTATAGCAAGAAGACGGATATTTGTTGGGCTGAAAAAGACTCTCTAGGACTTCTGTCTTTCGAGACTCTTCTGTAACTGATGTCGTACAAACGCGAAGATCTACAGGCGAAAACAAGTTGTCAGAAGAGACAGCGAAGATGACATTCGAAGTGGATATAGAGTTGATGAAAGTACCCAACGACCGACGTGGATAACAGAGCTTAGTCACTATCACTTATGAGAGGTCCAAACGAGGTCACCTCTTTCGCTTACGTAGGCAGCGTGCGTTCAGCTACAGGCGGAACTAGTGACAATGAAAAAGAGAAGACATTCAGCGAAGAGACTCTTTTCGGCGAATTCATTCATATAGCTGTACAATCGCATTTATATATAAATATTTGTGTGTGTGCGTGTGTGTGTACATGAGGTTTGTCAAGTTTAGATAATTGATTAGTTAGTACAGGAATGATGTAGTATAGAGACAAAGTTAATCAGACAGCAACTAAAGTAAGATTGAGTTAAAAAGATAGATGACGTAATATAATTGGCTAAAATGTTACAACTTGGGTCAGGATAGCAACAGAGGTAATTACAGGTAGAGATTAAGTAGAAGTGAAATTGAGTGAATAAGTTGGATGACGTAACATGAATGACTAGAAACTGAGCGTTGTTCAAGTCAGTAACAGTGGTAGTGAGGTGTAGAAATTGAATCGGGTGGGGGTAGAGAACAAGAAAGTTGAAAATGTAAAATGTTACAATTGAGAAGACAAAATAATACTAATGAAGAGACAGAAGAAAAGATTCACTTCTACTTAATCTCTACCTGTAATTACCTCTGTTGCTATCCTGACCCAAGTTGTAACATTTTAGCCAATTATATTACGTCATCTATCTTTTTAACTCAATCTTACTTTAGTTGCTGTCTGATTAACTTTGTCTCTATACTACATCATTCCTGTACTAACTAATCAATTATCTAAACTTGACAAACCTCATGTACACACACACGCACACACACAAATATTTATATATAAATGCGATTGTACAGCTATATGAATGAATTCGCCGAAAAGAGTCTCTTCGCTGAATGTCTTCTCTTTATCATATGACTCAATGGGGATTTTCAATCTACTAGTGACAATGTCAAAACCAGTCACGGTCAGAAAGGAAGACCATCCATTCATTATTCTGAAGTCCGTGAAGAAATTTACAGCATTCACTCACCATAATATCAAATCAGACAGTGCTTACATGTGTATATATATGCCCTTTAAAGACCGGACCTTTCTAAAAGGCTACTGCAGAGGAGACTTTCCATACTGAATGAGCAACAAGGAGCTGTCGCACTGCAACGATGCCACCAAGAACTAATCGCCTAACTAAGAAATGCGCTGAATGATATTGAGATGAATCGGACACATGTTGGGGAGACAATAGATTGACATCACACACCAAACAAGCCACCGCCCCAGGGGAAACCTAAATAGAAAACGACGAGTTGAGCGATGACATGGAGGTGGTTTGCGGAATAGTAGGTGGAAGTTTACTAGCAATCCTGAATTCAGGTAGAAAAGACAGCAAAGAACAAGATGATAGGGAAGAGTGCCCCTCAGCTACAGGCCCTGTGTTCCACTCGGAACTCAAGGGAAATTGTAAATGTGCATTCATACATTATTTTTTTTTGTCGGCCTTAATGTATGTGACTACTCCATCGTTTTTTTTATTTCTTTCATTTGTTTGTGGCCAATAAACTTCACAAATTAGGCTTTATTATCACTGAGGGAGAGATGCATAAGTCATCCCTCACTCTGAGAGGAAATGCATCGAAACAATAGTGATGAATTATCCGGTGCTGGCGTTTAACACGGCACAACGCTATTTGGTCGCAGCGACAGCCGCATCAACGAAGGCAGTACTCTACGGAGAAACGAGTTTATTTTTTTCAAGTTGTTTTTGAGAATTTCTAAAAGAAAACTGTGATCATATACTTGACACTATCCTACTTATGTGTTTAGAAAGAAGTAGTTATCAGTCTTTCCTTGCCGTGGTAACTTGGTGTCTTTATTCTCTTTTTTTCATTCGATTAGGTAATCTTTGGCTTTAACCTCGTCCCTTTGGATATAGTGTAATTTTGCTTGTCTCTTGTTTCCATGGTTTGGGTTGAACTCAGTACATTGTTACTCCCAATTTATAAGTTGCTAACCTCCTGTCTTTATTATGTAACTCCTTTACCATTGGATGCATGCATTTACTTTGTTTAAACTTGAAGTCCCTCTGTAAAAACTATGTAAGTGTAATTTTCTGAGCACTATTCACTACGTCTAGACCCTCCTGCCAACCGACATCACGTAAAATTTCGCAAGTATGTTCGAAATTTTCTGTACATGAACTTAATAATTAACTTAGGCTGTTTGCAGCTGATGAGAAAGCAACGAAATGGTGCCACTTTATTCTGCAAAAACTGTTGTTCTTGGTTTAGTCAAATTCATAAAGGGGAATAAATGTATGAAATTTATAAATGCTTTCTGTGTTGATTTTTTCTAATTGGGACGGATGCTTCATCCAGATTTATTTTTCCTTTAATTATTGGTAGAGGTAGAGTTATGGTTTGTAGAATGTCACCTGGTTCGCCTAGTTCGCTAGTTTATTAGCCCCTCTTCGAAGCTCGGAAAAGGTGGCAACGCTGAGCCAGCGATCTTATCACGGAAAATCAACTTAACCTCTGTAGAAACCGCAAAGCATAGCAAAAATATAAAGATTTAACTTATTCTCCTCATTAAGATCCATAGAGACGAAATGACGTGTGTCAATGAGAGCAAGTTATCCAGCCCACGCGTATCTTCTTTCAATGAGAAACCAAAAATAAGTATAGGAGATGAAATGTCAGTGCAATATTTGAAACCTACTGGAAAGGCTGTAGAAATTGCCAAAGACATGAGAAGATATGGTGCATAGAAGTGCTAGGAATTTGTGAGAGAATGTGGAATTCATGTAGACTCTTTAAATTGTTGACTGTAGAGTCGAAATCCTACTGCGACCAGTCGGACCGTGAAGAGTGAGAAGACAGGTATTCTTTGGACTGATAAGACATCTGTAGTAGATTCGTACTTTGTAGATGATTTATGCCTAGTGTCACAAAAACACGAAGATTCACAGGCAATAACCAACAACAACATTGTGAATCAATCACCGTGAAAGGCTGAAATTTGAGAAAAGTCATCTAGGCAGCGTCTTTTCAACTACAGGCGCTGGCAAAGATGAGGATATTGAGGTCAGGATGAAAAACAAGCAAGACAAACAATTAGTTCTGTGAAACCAGTGTGGAAATCTGCTGCACCCAGCACAAGGAACAAAATTCGAATTTCTTATACGAATACCAAGTCAGTCAGTACTTCTATATGGCTCAGAGACTTGGTGCGTCGCTTAAAGCATTCCCAGTCGGCAACTGAAGACTTTTATCAACAGCTAACTTCGCTGACTTGACGAGAGGGCTGGAAAGGATAAGTGACAGGGACCTCTGTGGAGGCACCAAACAAGAACCTATCACCCAATAAATCTGCCTAAGGAAATTGAGACGGATTCGCCGCACGCTAAGGAAACCGTTGAGCAACATTACACGCCAGGCAGTAACTAAAGTAGAGCTTGAATTCGAAATGATAAGTCTGGGGTGGCATGCAGCAGATCGTGTGAGAATGACGAGATGAGAGCCTATGGGTAGTCGTGGAGCTAATGAAAGACGACTGCAGAGAATAGGACAAAATTTGATATACTGCTGATGCACTCTGTCCCACTCCGAACCCTAGGGGATAATACTAATAGTAAGCTCTTCCGCTTCAGTTGCATAACTGTCTCAACAGATAATCCTGATATGGGTAGTATCATTTAGTGTTCATTTCATTTAGAAATCCCAGGAAGCCATAAGACTATCCAACAACACTATCTGAAACACCATAGTACAGAATCGATTTCTTTTCCTCCCCCGCCCTCACTATTTTGAAAATTGTGTCTAAACTTGAGAATAGTTCACTCACTGAGTAGTTTTTCATTCTTATAACGACTACTCTCAATGGAAAATTCAAGTTTCACATGAAAATGTTTATTTCATACATTTTTTCAGGTGATTCACTACTGAAAAATAGTTAATGGTAGTTTTTATAAACCTTCAAATAAGCCCAAGCAAAAAATATTTATGAAATTCTCCTCTCTTTCTAGACAGATATTTTCAGTAAACTCTGGTATTATTTTAGTTTCTTTTATGGGGTAAGACAGCCAAAGCAAATGTTCAAATATCTTATTATCGACAAATTCTTAGAACTAGCACAGGATGAGAAACAAGATGGAAAATCGGTATGTCAGACATGTAAATTGGTTTATTTGATTACTGATCTATCTTTCAGTTGCAGAGAAAATATCTCACTAGATACGATGGAGAAGATGAATTTTCAAGAGTTATTTTGTCTGGGGACGGTTTGATTTTGTTTCGTGGGACTTATCAGCAGTATGTACATGAGGAAACAGTTCCTCGGGATTTATGTAAATCTTTATATAAACTCACAAAAGATGACTTTCTGAATCTCTCTTCTAGTTTTAGATATAAATAGTCAGTAAATTATTATACTTAAAGTAATACAGAATATGTGTAGCTCAGGTGGATGATTTGCAACTACTAACTGCAAATTATAATACTACTTTATTTTCAACATATATCAAAGAAATACCTATAGTAAAACAACTGTTGAGAGAGATACGTAGGTCGTTCAATCCGTTTTTCATCTAGCGAAGAACATTATCTCTTGATGGCTATGGAAACGCATAAATGCATCGATAAAGAGTTCTGTAACCGAACCTCATATATATTCAACTCTGGTCAGTCGACATGCAACTAGAATTCATTCAAAGTTATATTTGCAAAATCAAAAGAAGCCTCCCGGTACAAAAGGTATTCTTCCGTATTTACAGATACGGAAACCCCTGATTGACACGTACACATAGAAGAAACTTCTTCATCTCAATCCGCGGAAAATCTAGTTGAAGAATTCCCAGAAGCAACTGAAGGCTAATCTAGCAAAATTGCAATTAAGCGAAATTGAATTAAAAGCCTTATCTCTGAGATTCAATTTTGAGGTTCACATGAAGCACATCAATCGTATAGACACAGAAGCATAATTCAAGCACTTATACCATCGACTCTACGTCCTGACACCCCCTGACGAAGATAAAAGAGGATGGCTAAAGTAGTTGATATAGCTAGCCAACACCATATATCACCAATGGAGAAGCAGAAGATAATGACCGAAGAGCACAGAATATCTCTGAAGAAACTATACGATTACGATGATATCGTCATATTTAGACCTGATAAAGGCAATGGGGTTGTTATAATGAACAAAGCCGATTATATACATAAAACGGTGACAATTCTAAACTACACAGAAAAATTCCAAGTAGACAATAAAAGGGTGACACAATTTCATTTGAAAATAAAGTGAATTATTGTCTCAAAGAACTTCTAAGGAAGAAATTAATAAACTACGACAATACAGTGAACTGAAATCAAAAGGTGGACGCTCGCCATTTATGTACGGCCTACCAAAAATCCATAAAGCAAATGTGCCCTTAAGAACAGTCCTGTCAATGATTGAGTCACCACGCCACAAGCTAGCTCGAGGGTTAGCTGATCCTATAGAGTCTATTCGAATTAAATTTGCAACCCACAGTCTGAAGGATAGCTATCAATTTCCCAGCTGAGCTCTTCTATCAATGGAACAGCCTACTATCGCCGATATGTTGATGACACATTTGTTGTTTGCAACGAGATGGATCACGCATTGGCATTATATGATCGCCTAAATGAGACCTGTCCAAACATAAATTTTACCATGGAATATGAACATAACAATGAGCTCAATTTCCATAAGCTATAAACGTGGATTAGTGAGGACTTTGTACGAGACAGCCAGAAAGCTGTTTTTACCCATCAAGGTGGAACAAGAATTAGGTTTCGTCGATAAATGCCAAAGAGAATGTGGATACCCTAAGGAATTTATACAAAAGTACAGCAGAGAAAAAGATAAGAAAGAAAAACACCCGACTGTAGAAAAGAAGAAAGTGTTTATTTGTCTCCCATTCAAAGGAAAT